TGCAGAAATAAAGAATGCATTGAAGGTGATCGGGCTTATAATATTACATATATACAAGCTATCAAGTTAATTTCTGTGTGGATTATGCATTTCCTCATCCTATATACATATAATGTAGGTTTTATATAATCAAGGTGGTAGAAAATTTTGGATACACAACACTGGACCATTAGGTTGTCTGCCTCAAAAACTCTCAACGGTGCAAAACAAAGATCTGGATCAGCACGGATGTCTTTCAAGTTACAATTCTGCTGCGCAATTGTTCAACGAAGGATTAAACCATTTATGTCAATCGATTAGATCAGAACTGAAGGATGCTTCAATAGTTTATGTAGATATATATTCCATCAAGTATGATCTCATTGCCAACTCCAAGAAATATGGTAAGTTGTGATATATAACATTCAAATGTTCCGTGTGTTTTGTCTTGATCAGTAAGGAAATTTGAGTTGTTTGATATATGTATATGTAAAGGTTTTCCAAGTCCGTTGATGGCCTGTTGTGGGTATGGTGGACCTCCATACAATTACAACGTGAAGATAACGTGTGGTCATCCCGGTAGTAACGTCTGCAACGAAGGATCTAGATTTATAAGCTGGGATGGAATTCATTACACAGAAGCTGCTAATGCCATTATCGCCTCGAAAGTACTTTCCATGGCTTACACTGTCCCACATACCCCTTTGGATTTCTTCTGCCGTGCTTGAACATTGATATTTAATTATAGTTGAACCTTCAAGCATCTGTCTGGTGGTGTGCTGCTAATGTTTTGGTGAAGTTTGTGCAAGAGAAAATTTCTGATTATGATCAAATCTTGTAGCTTGGATTTTTAATTAGTATAGGCTGCTTGAGCTTCCTTCTTAATTTGTAAACTGCTAATGGAAGCCACAAAATGCAGAGGCTCTTTTAGCATTTCACTTAAATATTGAGCTATGTTGATGGTGTTTGTTCTGTCTAATTTCTATTTAAGAAAATAAAATTTTCAAATATTTAGTAGAATCATTTGAGAATTTATTGATAAAGCTACTTCTTTTTTAGGAGAACTTACATTTATTTTAGAGAAGAAAAAAAAAATTTATTCTTCAAAATAATTTAATTA